TCCTGTAGTGGTTTTGGATCTTGTATTGGGGTAATACTGGCCTCATAAAATGAGTTAAGTAGTAGTTTCTCCTCTTCAGTTTTTTTTGGGGAATTTTTTGAAAAAGATCTGGTGGAATTCACCAGTGAAGCCATCTGGTCCTGGGCCTTTCTGTGTTGGGAGATTTTTGATTACTGATTCAGTCTCCTGACTTGTTACAGCTGTTTCTTTTTGGGTCAGTTTTGGTAGTTTGTATGTTTCTTTTTTTTTAAAGATTTTTATTTATTTATTTGACACAGAGAGAGTGAGAGACAGAGAGAGCATAAGCAGGGGGAGTGGCAGGCAGGCAGAGGGAGAGGCAGGCTCTGTGCTGAGCAAGGAGCCCGATGTGGGACTCGATCCCAGGACCCTGGGATCATGACCTGAGCCGAAGGCAGATGCTCAACGACTGAGCCACCCAGGCGCCCTAGTTTGTATGTTTCTAAGAATTTATTTCATCTGGGTTATTCAGTTTGTTGGTTCATAGTATCCTGTTATCCTTTATTTCTATAAAGTCTGTAATAATTTCTCCTCTTCCATTTTATGATTTTAGTAATAAGACCTCTTTTTTTGTCCTCAGTCCATCTGCCTAAAGGTTTGGCAATTTTGTAGAGCATTTCAAGGCATCAGCTTTTGCTCTTAGTAACTTGCTGTTGTTTTTTTCTAGTTTGTATTTCATTTCCAGTTGAATATTTATTTCCTTCCTTCTGCTAGCTTTGGGTTTAGTTTGCTATTCTTTTTCTGGTTCCTAAGATGTAGAGTTTTATTATTGAATTAAGATTTTTTTTTTAACATAAGCATTTAGAGCTATAAATTTCTCTCTGAGCACTGTTTTTGCTGCATTCCATAAATGTTATGTTGTGTTTTTTTCATTTGTGTTCAGGTATTTTCTAATTTTCCTTGTGATTTCTTTTTTGACCCATCGGTTGTTTAAGAGTGTGTTGTTAAATTTCCCACATATTTGTGAGTTTTCTGGCAACCCTTCTATTATGAATTTCCAGTTTTATTCCATTGTAGTTGGAAAGGATACTTTGTGTAAGTTCAGTCTTTCTAAGTGTATTCAGACTTTTCTTATAGCCTAATTTATGATTCTTCCTGGAGAACATAGGCTGTTCACTGGAGAAGACTGTGTATTCTGCTTTTGTTGGATGGAGTGGTCTGGTTGGTTTATAGTACTTTTCAAGTCTTCTCTTTCCTTGTTGATCTTCTGCCTCCTTATTCTGTTACTGAAAATGGAGTGTTGAAGTCTGAAACTGAGCGTAGAATTGTGTCTTTCTCCCTTCCATTTTGCCAGTTTTGACTTTATGTATTTTGGGGCTGTCTTCCTGGATGCATATATGTTATACTTCTTTCATCTTCTTGATGGATTGACCCTTTCATCAATATATAATGTCCTTTTTGTCTCTTATAACAGTTTTGCCAGCCCAGCTCTCTCTGTTACTATTTACATGGGATATTTTTTTCATCCTTTTACTTTCACCTTTTTGTGTCTTTGTATCTAAGCAAGTCTCCTATAGATGGCATACAAATGGATCATAATTTTTTTTATCCATTTTGGGTTTTAATTGGAGAATTTGATCATTTACATTTGAAGTAGTTACTGATAAGGAATATAGCTTAAGCTGCCACACAGCTGTTTGTTTTCTGCGTGTCACATATTTCTTGTTCCTCAGTTCCTTTCACTGCCTTATTTTATAGTTGATCTTTTTGTGTATTTTGTATATTTCTGTATTTTTGTTGTTGTTTTTCTTCATGGCTACTTGGGGATTACATTTTCCATCTTAAATTTATAACCATCTAATTTGAGTAATCCCAATTTAGTGTTAGTAGCATACACACACTGCTGCCATGTGCCTCGCCTTCCCCCTTTCTTAATATTGCTATTGTCACAGATTACGCCTTTATTCATTGTTCCCATTAACATTGATTTATAATTTTGTTTTATTCATTTGCCTTTTAAATCATACAGAAAAAAAAGAATTACAAACCAAGAGTACACTGACACTGGCTTTTATATTTACCTGTGTAGTTATCTTTACCCTTGTTCTTTATTTCTTGATAGGATTTAAAATTATTGTTTAGCATTCTTTCGTTTCAGCCTGAAGGGCTCCCTTTGGCATTTTTTGAAGGGTACTTGTACTTGTGTATCAGTGACAAACTCCCTTAACTTCTGTTTATCGGGGATGTCTTCATTTCTCCTTCCTTCTTGAAGAATGGTCTTGCCAGATACGAAATTTTTGGTTGACAGGATTTCTCATTCAGAGCTTTAAATATGTCATCTAATGGAGATAGGATTGTATAATTCATTTGTCGAAATCTTGTAAGCCCTCATCCTGACTTCAGCAGGTATAGTATCCTACTTTTTAATGGTTTCAGAGACATTTATTCAGAGCATGATTGCACAGGAATGAATTTTCTGGGGGGTTTGGTTGGTTTAGTGGGTTGGTTAAGCGTCCAACTCTTGATCTCAGCTCAGGTCTTGACCTCAGGGTCATTAGTTCAAGCCCCATATTGGGCTCTATGCTGAGAGTGGAGCCCACTTAAAAAAAATTTTTTTTTCCTGGCATCTGAAATGATCCTTTAAACACCAAAACTTTTATCTTCACCTAAAATGTATTTATTTGACAGAGAGAGACACAGCGAGAGAGGGAACACAAGCAGGGGGAGTGGGGAGAGAGAGAAGCAGGCTTCCCACCGAGCAGGAAGCCCATGTGGGACCCTGGGACCTTGACCTGAGCCAAAGGCAGACGCTTAAAGACTGAGCCACCCAGGTGCCCTCCAGGTCTTTGAAGTAAGGCTTTGTACATTTGAGGAATCTGAATGCAGCTATTGATGCTTCCAGGGCCCAGCATCCAGGCTGTTCTGTTTCAGCTTACCACAGTGAATGTTTAATGCAGTAATGCACTTGGACCATGAGTTACCTACTACTCTTTAGACTCAAATACTGAGGTTTTGAGTTTTCATCTTTATGTAATGGCTTTTCGGTCTCTTCTCTGTCAGGTATCACATGTACCTATTTTTATGCCTCCCCTCTTTAGCTAGGGCTAAGAAAATCAAATGACTGAAGTTAAAATAGATAAAAATGAAGGTATTAATACGGTTTTCACATTTATTTTGCCTTCCAGACCAAAATATTTCTTCATGTAATTTCTTCATTGATCATGTGGTATGATTTTTTTAGGTATCTCAAAGAGCAAACTCCTGATAAAAAAGAGCCATCACTATATTGCCAGTGCTTTTAAGAAATAAAAGGCAAGGGGCGCCTGAGTGGCTCAGTCGGTTAAGCGTCTGCCTTCGGCTCAGGTCACGATCCCAGGGTCCTGGGATCGAGCCCCACATCGGGCTCCCTGCTCTGTGGGAAGCCTGCTTCTCCCTCTCCCGCTTCCCCTCTTGTGTTCCCTCTCTCTCTCTGTGTCTCTCTGTCGAATGAATAAATAAAAATCTTTAAAAAAAAAAAAAGAAAGAAAAGAAATAAAAGGCAAATCCAAGCTGTTTTTCAGATCAGCAGCTAATGCCAATGTTTAGGCTTCAGAGAGTATCAAAGAAAGGTACTTCTATTACTTCCCAGTTTTGTACTCTTAGAATGATAGTTTCCTAAAAAGGAATCCTTGCCAACTTTAAAGTGACCATACTGTCATTTTCAGAGGAATGGGGGTGTTCTGGTCACCTCCTGCTTTAAACCACAGCCATTTACCAATTAGATGTGCTCCCAAGTAAAATGTGACCAGCATTTACCTCAGGACCACATTCATGTGTGGCAAAGTTACCTACTTTATTCACTCTGACGTTGAGAGATTATTTTGCCTTATTTTGTCTATAGTTTTGTGTGTATGTAAAACAAAACATTTTAACAGGTTTGGTGATGATGTCTAGGAAGCTAGATTTTGTGATGTACTTATTTTTTTATATAAAATCTTAAGCCATTTTATATTTCATTCACTTTATCTTGAAATTTGTATTGTAAGATTTTTTTAATGTTCAGAATGTCATCAATCAAACCTGAATTCTAAAATTCTGTGGTTTTTGTGAAACCATTTCTTAGAAACTTTGTTAATGACAGGAAGTAAAGAAGGGCACCAGGGTGGGGTGGCCCAGTCAGTTGCCTTCGGCTGGGGTCTTGATCTTGAGGTCCTGGGATCGAGTCCCCTGTTGGTCCCTAATTTCCCGCTGGCCGCCTACTGGGCGAGGCCTTTCCACCCCTCGCCGCCCCCAGACCCTACCGAGACCCGGCTACCCGCGCCAGTCGCCCTTTGCCCACCCCGCGCACTCCCGGGCCGGAGGTCCGGCTCCGGGGCACGCCCCAGGCCCCGGAGGGCAGGCGGAAGGGGTGCTGGACGTGGAGCATCATGGGCCCGGGGGGAGGGGCGGTGGCCCAGTCCTCGCGACATTTCGGCCGGGAGGGAGGCAGCAGCGACTCCGCGGCGGGTGCGAGATGCGCTCAGAGAAGGAGGGAGTGGGAGGCTCCGGGGTGGCCGTTGCTGCGCGGGACCCGAGCGGGAGAGAAAAGCTGTCGGCTGGGGAAGTCCAGTTCCGCCGGGAGTCGCCGCGGCGAGAGCCAGAGGTGCCACCAGCCTCGCCCTTCGGCTCCGGGGGCGGTACAGGCAAACCTCGCGAGGAGAAGAAGACGGTTCTGAGCAAGGTGGGGGGAAGGGCGGGGCAGACTAACCTCGCGAGAGGAGGAGGGTCTTCAACAGGGTGGGTCGAGGCGAGAACGGAGTGGTGCGTGCAAACCTCTCGAGAAGAGGGATGGTCTTGGGCGAGGTGAGGCGGGGCCGAGGGTTGGCGTCATGCTGGAGGCGGAGGGGCGGGTGGGCGAGCCTCGCGAGAAGAGGGATGGTCCTGCGCAAAGGCGGGGCGGGCTCGGGGTTTGGGGTGGAGCGGACGGGGCGGGGCCGCGGGCGGCGTGTTCTGGGAGCGCGGGGCCGGGGCCGGCCGCCTCAGCGCCGCTGACCGCGGCCGGGCGGGGGCCGTTTCCCGCCCCGCCTGGAGCCTGTGGTGTTTCCGGTCGGGGCTGAGCGCGGACACGCTGCGCTCCGCGGCGGGGTGCCGGTCCGGGCGGCGGGCGCCCACGCGGGCGTGTGAGGTTTGAGCTTTCCAGTCGGGCACGGACAGTACGTGTCGTGCCCACAGTCGTCGGGGTTCCCGAGAAAGGAGCTGTGTTAGGCGCAGCCCCTTCTGACGGCCGCTTCCGCTGGACTCCTGGCGTAGCGCTCCCTCAGCCTAAACGCAGGCGGCGTTCGAGGGGTGCAAGCGCTAGGGCGGACGCCAGGCCCACCGTCCGTCCCCTCCTCAGGTGGTGATCCGGCGGCTTCCTCCCAGCCTCACCAAGGAGCAGCTGGAGGAGCAGCTGCACCCGCTGCCCGCGCACGACTACTTTGAGTTCTTTACCGCCGACTTGAGGTGAGAAGCTGGGAGGCCTTGTCGCTCGATGGGAGGTGGTTGTAGACCGCGGAAGCTGTCTCCGTCTTTTTCCCGCACGGACCCAGAGATCAGCGCGCACCTCGCTTGGACGTGGTCGTTAAATTCCTCTAAGAGATTTGGAAGGTGCCTGTACCAGCGCCCCCATCGTCCAGAAAGACGAACTCCGGAGAAAGAAACCGTATCCAGCCCTTGCGTCCACCGCTGCCACCCCCACCCACACCTACCGGCTCCTTCTGTCCTTCCCTTTCACACCTGGGTAGAAGGGCGCCTCCGAGGACGCCTTAACACGTCCACATCTTCTCTTTGTGAACAAAGAGAAAGCAGACCTCAGGTTAGACCTTCCGCAGGGGACAGGTCAGCTACATTTTGTGATTTTCACTGTGTTTCTCCTACACTCTTGATCATCACTGTTAGCCTTTTTATCTTCAGTGTCGTGAGTTGGCATTTGTGGGAGCCCTATCAGCTCTCCTTCTGAATAAATACTGTTCAAGGAAAAACTTTCAGTCTGTTGAAAGAAAAATATTTCCAGCGGAAATACAGATTTGGTTTAAAAAAAATAACAGGTGAATTTCAAATGACTAAAGTTTAAGAAAGGACAGGCCCTGGACTCAGAGTGATTCAGGTTGGAATCCCAGTCCCACTTTCTAACTAGCTGTACCTTTTGCACATACTGAATTTCCCTGAGCCTGTGTTCTCATCTGTGAAATGGGGTTGAAAGTTCCCGCCTGTTAAGGAAGTTGGTAGTTTTGTGGTAGAGGAGAAAGGCTTAGTTCTTCTGTAGCCCCCATACCGTGTGCTGCAGTTAATATCCCTTTGGAGCACGTAAAGGTGTTCTCTAAGTCGGTGAAGATTCTTTTGTGCAATATGATGTTTTCATTTATGAATCATGGCTAGATTTTATTGGGTCATGATGTGTGATAAGGAATGACCTTTGAATAACCTTGCCTTTGGTTTTTCAACTTTGGAAGGCCAGTATTATAACCCTGCTTCTGTGTAGTAGAGAGACTGACCTTAAGTGTCTTTCCCAAGTTATTAAAAAGATCTTGGGTAATGTTTTGTTTATTTTGGGGTTTTGTTTTTTTTTTTTTTTGCTAAAGAATACCCAGATTGTTGTAATTAGCTGAGAGGTGTTCTTTGGCACACAGGTTTCAGCTTGTTTTATCTAGAAAAGAAAAAAAAGCAAAATTAAAGAAATCTTGCATTTTTTACTAACCATTTTCACTGTTATCTCTTATTTCAGTCTTTATCCTCATCTTTATTCAAGAGCATACATTAATTTTAGAAATCCTGATGACATCCTTCTTTTTAGAGATCGTTTTGATGGCTATATCTTCATTGACAGTAAAGGTTGGATCATTGGCTTTTTAAACTATAATCTCAAAGTACGTTAATTAAGTTTTGCTGGAATGTTTGTGAATTATAATTAAGTTCTCAGATACCAATCTAAAATAATTTCATAAATTTCAGTTGTGTTACTGTGGTTGTGTGCTTATGTTGAAAATTAAAATTATATATAAACCAAAGAATTCCATCAATTCTTTGTATCAGTGACAACCTATTTATATATTATTGGAGTGAAATTTTTAATATAAATGAGTTTTCTGATAATTGAACTTCCCTTTCTTATGTACCAAAACCAAATCACTTTACTTTTGTGCAATAGGAATTTTCTAAAATACATTATTCACTTATATCTATGTCTTTTTAAACAGTGTACTCTTTATATTTTGGCTCAGGTCACAATCTCAGCATCGGCTCCTTCTTCACTCATTGGGGAGTCTGCTTAAGATTCTCTCTCTCTCCCTCTGCCCTTTGTCCCTCACTAAAATAAGTAAATAAATTAAGATTTTATTTATTTGACAGAGAGAGAAAGCACGAGCAGGGGAAGTGGCAGGCAGAGGGAGAGGGAGAAGCAGGCTCCCCACTGAGCAGAGAGCCCGGGGAAGTCAATCCCAGGACCCTGGGATCATGACCTGAGCTGAAGGCAGAGGCTTAACCTACTGAGCCATCCAGCACCCCTAAATTAAGTAAATACATCTTGAAAAAAAAAAAAAATAAGAATGTTAAACAGAGTACTCTTCATAACTATACCATTTTTGGACAGTGTCATGGGGGAGGGGATTGTAATAATGAACATAAGTTTCTGACTCTGTTGAACAGCATTGCCTGCTGAGACAGGGATATTTACCTCTACTCTAAATGGTTCCGATTCTCTGTACTTTTTGGATCTGGCCTTTGTCCTCCCTCCTGTCAGACTGTCAGCTGTTGTGTCCACTGCGATCAAGCTGGTACAACTGTAAGAGCATATTCTCTGAATACCCCTCACCAGCCAACCTCCTCCCACTCCACTCCACTGCTGCTAAGTGTTTTTTTCTTCACTGAGAGCTAACAAAAATATCCTTAAAGAGTGACTAGGCTGAGGCCAAGAGATTCTTTCCTGTGAGGAAAAGCAAATGTAATCTTGAACTATTTTTAAGATTTTATTTTTTTAAGAGAGAGCACACATGCGAGGGGGGAGGAGCAAAAAGGGAGGGAGAGGGACAAGCAGTGCAGAGGCCAACGCCTCAATCCCACGACCCTGAGATCGTGACCTGAGCCCAAACCAGGAGTCAGATGCTTCAGATGCTCAACTGACTGAGCCACCCAGGCGTCCCTCATCTTAGTCTTTTCTAAGCATACAGTTCAGTAGTATTAAGTACATTCACACTGTTGTGCACCCCTTCTCCCGAACTCTTTTCATCTTACAAAACTAAAACTCTGGACTCTTTAAATAACTCCCCACTTCTCCCTGACCCCTAGCTCCTGGCAATCACCTTTCTATTTTTTGTTTCTATGAATTTACTAGTCTAGGTACCTCATCTAAGTGGAATCGTACAGTATTTCACATTGCATGGTGTCCTCAATGTTCACCTGTGCGGTAGCAGCTCTCAGAATTTCCTTTTTAAGACTGAGTAATACGCTACTGTGTGTATATACCACATTTTGTTTATCCATTTACAAAGAGCTGGGTTGCTTCCAGCTCTTTGCTATTGTGAATAGTGCTGGTGTGAACATGGGTGTACAAGTATCTCTTTGAGACTCTGCTTTCAATTTTTTTGGGTATAATCATAGCAGAATTGTTAGATCATATAGTAATTATATTTTTAATGTTTTGAGGAACTGCCATACTGTTTTCCCTAAAAGGTACTTCATTTTGTATCCCCACCACCTGGGCATGAGACCTCCCAATTTCTCCACATCCTCCCAACACTTGTCGTTTCCTGTTTCTTTGATAGCAGACATTCTAATGGGTATGAGGTAGTATTTCACTGTGATTTTGACTTGTATTTCCCTAATGCTTAGTGATGTTAAGCATCTTTGTGTGCTTGTTGGCCATTTGTGTGTCTTTGGAGGAATGCCCATGTTTAAATTGAGTTGTTTTTTAAGTTGTAGATTTTTTTTATATATATATGTATATTATGGCTCTTAACCCCTCATCAGATGTATGATTTTTTCCCATTCCATAGGTAGCCTTTATATTCTGTTGATTGTATTCTGTGACACTCAGGTATTTTTAATGTGATGTGGTCCGGTTTTTCTGTTTTTATTTTAGTTGTCTGTACTTTTGGTGTCACATCTAAGAAATCATTGCCAAATCCAATGTCAAGTTTTTCCTCCATGTTTTCTGCCAGAGTTTTATAGTTTTAGGTCTCATGTTTAGGTGTTTGATCCATTTTGAGTCAGCTTTTGTCTGTGGTATCTGATAAGAGTCCAGCTTCAGGGACGCCTGGGTGGCTCAGTTGGTTAAGCATCTGCCTTCAGCTCAGGTCATGATCTCAGGGTCCTGGGATCGAGTCCCGCGTCGGGCTCCTTGGCTCAGCAGGAAGCCTGCTTCTCCCTCTGCCTGCCGCTCCCCCTGCTTGTGCTTTCTCTCTCTCTCTCTGACAAATAAA